TGCTGCTGGTCAGTTGCCGCAGCGGCTGAATCGGGGGCGCCTACAGCAGGGCAGTTGGGGTGCTGCCGGGTTGGTCCGGTAGCGCCGACCCTTGATGCCGCGAGACCAACCCGGCAGTACCCCAGCTGCTCTTGGGGATGCCTGGAGCAGAGCAGCTGGAGTGCTTCCGGGTTGGTCCCGCAGTGCCAAGGGGCGGCGCTACGGGACCAACCCAGCAGCACCCCAGCTGCTCTGCCCCAGGTGCCCCTATTCAGCCTCTGCTGAAACTGACCAGCAGCTGATTCCGGGAAGCCCGGGTCAGAGCAGCTGGGGTGCTGCCAGGTTGGTCCAGTAGCACCGCTCCTCCGCACTGCGGGACCAACCCGGCAGCACTCCGGTTGCTCTGCTCCAGGTGTCCCCCAAGAGCAGCTGGGGTGTTGCGGGTTGGTCCCGCAGCCCCAAGGGGCAGTGCTATGGGACCAACCTGGCAGCCCTCCAGCTGCTCTGCCTCCAGCTTCCCCGATTCAGCTGCTGGTCAGTTTCAGCAGTGGCTGAACTGGAGAAGCCGGGTGAAGAGCAGCTCCAATTGTCCGGCTGCCCCAGCACTTCCAGGTTCCTGATGGTGCCGGACCATCAGGAGTGCCGGAGCATTGGATGCCAGACTAATGGAGTTTTACTGTATTCAAGTAATGAAATTCAGGATTACATTCACCAGCCTCACACCATCATCAACCCTATTCCCTTGCCTCTCCTCCACCGTTAACTGACTACTTTACAAATTCATAACTATAGCCAAGCTAAAACTTACTTTAGACAATGATATCCATGTCTTTTGCAAAGGAATAAGCAAAGTTGTAAGTCCAGAGAAGAAGATGGCATCACGAAATGGGCCACCCAAATACCGGAGAGAATCTGCTGTCATCCAGAAACAAAACCCTCACTCCAACTATGCTCCCCTACCAGTCAGCTTCCACCCCACACTCAAACTCAGACAACGTATCATCAAACTACAACCCATGCTCTAGAGTCTATGGGGACCCCATGCTGACAAATCTTTTCTGCCCCTCCTCTTCTGGCCTCCAAACAACCCCCCCCTCCCCACCACCACCTCCAAGCTCATCAGAAGGAACTCCTTGCATACAAGGGCATGCCAACTCAAAGCAGCACTAGATTCTGCTGGAACAGATACATCTGCAGCTTTTGCAACTCCACTGCTAAACGATCACCACTCTCCAAAGCATACCTTTCAAGAGCCAGGAATCCTCCACATGCCCATCACACTATGAGGTGTACCTCATCCAGTGCATTAAATATCCCAATAGCAACTACACGGATAAAACTAGATAATCACTATGCTTTCAAATGAACTCACTCAGGGAAGCGATAAAAAAGATCACTCTATCATCTGTGGGTGGGCATTTTCCCCAAAGCAATCACTATCTGACCTATTCATTCATAACCTCAAAGGAAACTAGCCCAAGTTTCAAAAGATGAGCTTGGGATCTTAAATTTAGCAATGTTATGAAAATCACTGAATGAACAGACACATTGGATTTATAGCTTCTTATAACATGTAGCCCCCTAGCCTGTCATGACTAGAGAGGTGTTAACAGGCCACTCTGCCTTGAATAGTCCCTTAGAATAAGTGTTAACCAATCCGTTCCACCTGCTCAGAGTCCCTTTCCCAGAAGAGCTCCGAGTGTGTCTGGAAAGCTTCTGTCTCTCGCACTAACAGAAGTTGGTCCAATAAAAAAAAATTAAAGAAACAAGGAGAATTAGGTAATGTCCTGGGACTGACATGGCTACAACTATGCTACATACAACAATGGAAGATATCAAATTTTGCCATCTGAAATGACAACTCCACAACATGATGAAAAAAAGAAGCAAAACAACAATATTTATTTCCTGAACAAATGCAAGAAACAAAACAGAGATTATGAATCTGTTATAGAAGAGGGTAGGGAAGGTTCTCTGGCTTGCAGTATGCGTCAGGTCAGACTAGATCACGATAGCACCTCCTAGCCTTAAAGTCTAGGAGTGTTCAAAGACTACCTCACAAGGCATATTTTGTACAATGACTATTACAAAAGTGTGCAGGGAGTGAATTCACGGTGCTTAGCGTCAAAACCATGCGTGCACACATAAATCAATGGACATTTTTTCCATAGAAAGCTAGCCTGCTCACAATGCTTGCTAAACCCCCTCTGTCTGCCACAGCTGGATTGTAGCCTCCCCTCCTACCTGTGCTGCAGCAGGAGGGGGACTCCTGTGGCCAGATGGGGGCTGGACCATGGGGCCTGCCCCAGGATTGGGGCTGGGGACAGATTGCTGTGGCCAGATGGGGGCCGGGCTCTGATTGGGGCCCTGCTGGTCAAGCTTCATTTTAAATCAAGTAAAATATTATGTCCAACAAAAAGGCTTTCAACATCATCTTTATTTATGGTAGGGGAGAGGAACCTTTTTGGGGTCGGGGACCACACAACTGAGAAGGAAAAAGCGCCCCTCCAAAGACCTCCTCACTGATGTGGCCCCCAACTGAAACATCTCACTCCTCTGGTGCTCCAGCCCCATGGGTAGGGGAGAGAAGACTGAGGTTCAAGGTCTCAGGCCAGATTAACTCTTCTGGGGTTCCAGGGTTAGTGGATTTGTGGGGCCTACTAAGCTCCAGGGTGGAGCCAAAAATGAGGGGTTCAGTGTGTAGGACAGAGCTGCTAGTGAGTGGGATACAGATGGGGGTGCAGGATCTGGGCAGGAGGTGGGATGCAGGAGGGGGTGAGGATGCAAGGTGGGGTGCAGGACCAGGCTGGGAGTAGGGTGTCTGGCCAGAATACCGGGGGGGAAGGGAGAAGTGGGAGACTGCGCAGCTGAGGACGCAGGTGGAGGGACATAGATGATGTAACTCTGTCGTCCCGCGGGGAGGGAGGGAGGGAGAGGGAGAGGGAGAGGGAGATCAAATTTTAAACATAATCAAAGAAAGAAAATTGCCGCTTGAAAACTTACTAGAGTCAAAAATCCAGAGTTATATTTGTTGCAAATGGACTATTAAATGGACAGCAAAAACCATGAATGACTTGTTGATTTACTTATTTACTTTGCATATTTTGATGTGATGTTAATAATTTATTTTTTAACAGTTCACAAAGCTTTAGCTTTACTGGCGGTGACATTGAGATTATATTACAAAATAATTGTCTGACACCCCACCCCCCCACAAATAATTTCCTAGAATTGTGAACATTTAAAATCTATTTTAAGAACCAAAAAAAAAAAAGTTTAAAAACGATCAGTAATAGCTGCCAAAGTTGTAAACAAAATGTAATTCTACCAATTCTGCTATGTTATATATGTTTTAATATAATATGGCTCTGCTTTTGGTATCCTGAATTAAAGGAGAAAAAGTTTGTTTCTCATTTAGAGACTTTAAAAAGTAACTGGACATGCTAATATAGAAATGGCTCAGGATTTTAGTTTTCAGTGACCTGTTCTTGCCTGATCACTCACCAACAGATTTTTGCCGGAGGACCTGCTGTTCCTGCTCCTCTGCTGCATTCTCGTCCTCTTTTAGTTTTTCCTTTGGAGGGAGGATGCCCTTCTTACGCAAAATGTCATTCCATTCGGTATCTGCATTGGGGTCCTAAAACAGAACAAAACAGAGGATGTGCACCTTAAACTGAATGAACACTTCTACCACTTCCACAACTGGAATAATTTTATTGTATGGGCAATGGAGAGCACACACAGAATCTCCTGCTGATGGGATTTTTATACACCTTAAGCAGAGGATAGTGCCCTGCAAAGAAACTGATACCTTGCTCCACTCTCTTCTGTTCTCTCTCAAAACCCTACAGAAGAGCTTCTGAGAGTTCTCAAAAAAAGGAGAATGCTGCAGCAGAGTCCGTAGCTTCCTTAATTGGGGCAGGAAAATGAGAAGATCTGAGTCATCACGAGGGCAGGTAAAGACGAAGCAGAGCAGGGTGTCTATCCAAGGTTTTTTTTTGTTTTTGTTTTTTTAAAAAGCAAAAGCAAAGATGACAGAGGTTACAGGATTGGTGACCTCCTTATGGGCACAACTAGCTAGGAAAACAAAAAGAAAAACCATTTTTTCTACTAAGAAAGTTTTCACCAATGGAAAGCTGCAAATGGCAGCCCCCAAATTCATTCCTGCCATACTGGCTTTTTCGACCCAAAGAAGTTGCTTAGAATACATTTAAAAACCAATTTTGTTAAAATTGCACCAGTTTGTGAAAACATACTTGTGATTTGAGCTCAACCCAAATCACTACAGAATCAAGTTTACCTAAATCTACATAATCATCTTGGACTAAAACAGGATATTGTACTGATTTAATAAACACAGTTAGATAAAATGTGTATGTAGACATGGACTAATGTAAGATCCAGAATGTACTAGGTTTGGGATTCAAACAACACAGAAGTAGTAGGCTCTTACGTCACTTCCTTCCAGGAGGAAACTTTTTAAAAAGTGTTCTTCCAGGTTTCATTGTTTATGGGCAACATTTAGATGTAATGCATAAGATAGTAAAACTGTTGAAAAAGTTAACAAAAATATTTTAAAATAAATTGTAAAAAAAAAAAAAATACTGTTTTGAATAAATGCACATATACAGCCACCCCTAACCACAAACAAAGTGATTTTGTATGCCTCTCAGGACAAGGCACAGGAAAGCTGAACAGAGGTCAGACACATAAAACACACTGCCATCATGGAAGCATAACAACATTGTGGGAGTCAGAGGAGTTGACTTGGGTTTTCTTTACTTTGAGATTTAGAGACATCTGCTCCTCACATGGACCTGAAAGAGTGGTGGGTAATTAAGGCAACAAACTGGGACCGAGGACGTACAGGTTCACTTAGTGGCTCTGCCACGGACTCCTTGTTCCCTAGCTCAAGCTTATAAATAGGGCTACTATTCCTTACTTTGTTAATACAAAAATTGCTCAGATACTTATGTGTTTCCCATCATTACAGTATCTACATGGATTACTTGGGTGACTAATGCAAGATTTACTTCTATGGGTTAAACTTCTCTAGACCGGCACTTTTGGGTCCAGGAATATCTGTGGTTTGGGATGATTTTATTTAGCCAGATGTCTACTTATCATGGATGCAGCCAAGTTTCATGCGGTCCCCTAAAGTTTGTTTATAGCAACCAGTCCTGGCCCTCAGTGCTCTGTGCTGTTATTTAGCTCTAATTTATCCCTAAATATCTTCTAAGACCCCAATAAGCAGTGGAAGTGTTGGTAGTGCTGCTAGACAATATTGACCTCCCATGGTTAGGCAAATTCTCTGGTCCCAAGAATGCCAGATTAGAGGTTCAATCAGTATAAACTTTACAGGCAATATAGGGCCCATCAATCTTCCAAAGCTATCATTCTCACTCAGATCAACAGCACTGTAATTTCCAATTGCAAGAACAAATTTTAGTGACAAGTGTCACTAAAGGTAGAAATTGGTCAAAAAAATTTGTAGTATTGGTGACCACTCATATTTCAGACTAAGAACACAATATCCCTTTCCTGACAACAAGTCCTTTCTGGCAGACAATGGCTTACAAGACATCAAAATAAAGACAAAGCATGTTGCCAGTTTATGTCAAGCAACCATTTACATGTTCATATCTTCTGAATGAGCACAAGCAGAATTGTGCCTGCCCCCTTATTTTAAAACACTAAGTATCATAGGATTGTTTGGAGTAAGACCACTTAAGTCAATTAAATTAGGCTTTATTTTGAGGCAGTGTTGGGATTTTTCACTTGTAATATAAATATAAATGCAGTCATGAATGCTTACAGATATTTAAGGCCCTGGTACATCCTGTTTAAGGAATCCCACCCCCTCCCACTCACTTTAGATCAGTGGTTCCAAAAACTTTACGGCATCACATTCCCTTTTTGATTTTTGAGAAACATTCACGCCCTCCTCCCTCTCAATAAGAGCAAAACTTGTTGAGAAAAAAAAAAAAAGAACTTACTGAGGCTGAAAAACAAAAATAGCAGCAAAACTTGCTATTGAAAGGGGGATGGGGGGGCTGGGTCACCTCATGTCCCCCCCCCCCGGAGTTTGGGAACCCATGCTTTAGATGTTACAAGTATTTTAGGGTCTGCAGAGTTTAGGGCCTGGTAGAACTGCCCCCCCTTCAGCTCTGATTGTGGGAGGAGTTATTTTAAGGCAACCAGATGTCCCATTTTTATAGGGCCCATCTCCTGACGTTCGTGTCCCACTTAAAAAAAAAACCCCACACTTTCTCTCTAGGTACTCTACGTGTGTTGATATCCAGAACTGAAGATTCGGGCGACAAGCAGAGCCACAGGAGTGTCCGGGGACAGGCGTGATAAGGGTGCGCAGTAATAGCATTTATTGGACCAATTGTTTAGTGGTGGAAGAGCCAAGCCTGGGAGCCACCAAGTGCCCTTCTTCCGGATTGCTGCCCCAGAACCTGCTACTCCCCAACAGCGCTTGGCCCAGGGACAGATGTCACGTGTCTCTCCAAGGTCCTGGCTCGGGGGGGATGGGGGGAGGGTGGCTCCCCACCCCCACGCTGCAGCCCCGCCCTGACGACAGCTACTCGCGATGCAAGAGGCGCGCCCAGACCAAGCGGAAGGGGAAAGGCGGCGGCGGCTTTTTCCCTTTATATGGGAAGCTCCGCAGTGCAACACTGTAACCCGAGAAGCGCCCGGCGAGCCAGCCGCGCGCTCCTTATGTGGCTATGGGCGGCCGGCCAGCTCCCCGCTCCCGAGCCCGGCTCCTCCTGGCAGCTCCCGGGCGAGCCCCGCGCAACAGGCCCGGGAGGAGCCGCGCTGCATCGGGGCCGGGGGGACACACGCTCCCCCGTCTGCAGCCGGGGGGCTTTACCCGCCCTTCCCCGGCCGCCGCCGCCTGCCTCCCGGGGCCTCCTCACCTGCATGTTGGCCCTGACACTGCAGCAGCGGCGCCGCCGGGCAAGATCCCCCCTGCAGCGCCCGGAGCCCACCTGCCGCCGGCTGCGGGGCGAGTCCCTCCCTCTGCGTCTGGGGCAGCGCCGCCGCCTTCCGGAGCAGCCTTATTCGGCAGCGGGGCCGCCCAGCGCCCTTCCCCTCTGCGCTCCTGGGAGCTGGCGGTGGGGGGCGCCCGGGGAGCGGGGACTAATCCTCTCGCGTGCACTAGTGACACGTGCGAGAGCGGCCGCGTCTCCTCTCTCAGGCCTGGGTTTTGCTCGACTGAGCATTGCACAGCTCTCCCGGCGCTCAGGCGGTGCCCCCACCCCAGGCCCGTCACTGAGTCCTGTCGGAGCGCGACAGCGTCTGGCGAGCTCAGGCTGTCCGTCACTATTAACCCCTCCCCCCCTTGAATTTTCCCAATATCATCGATCATCATTTCCTCATTCAGAGAGTCATATATAGAATCCAGAAGAACCTTACTACTTACATAGATATGCATAAAAAACATTCTACCTTACATGCATCCCAATATTATTATTCCCCCCCCCCAAAAAAAACAACAATGCTTTCCCTGTAATGTAATATTTTTACTTTTCAGGTATACATTAACTAAAAAACAAGGCTAGCTCTTCCCTTCACAGATGAAGGGGAACGGATCACAGTACTAAGAATTGGTGATTGTTTTAAGTGCAAGGGATCATACCTTCAACAAGCCCGTTCTTGCACAAGAAAAACTACAGTAAAGCTTAAGAACACAGGGCTTTTTGCACAAGAGTTATTCCTCTCCCCATGAGGAATAAGCCTTTTTGATCAAGAGCTCTCGTGCAAAAAGGCATGTGTAAACAGGCAACAGCGGTTTCTTGCACAAAAAAGCCCTATGGCTAAAATGGCCATCAGAGCTTTTTTGTGCAAGAGAGTGTCCACACTGCCATGGACACTCTTGCCCAAAAGCACATCTCTTGTGCAAAAGCACATGGCAGTGTAGATACGCTCTTGCGCAAGAACTTATTGTGCAAAAACTCTTGTGCAAAAAGTTCTTGTGCAAGAAGCCTGAAGTGCAGACATAGCCTCGGGCTTTGTCTATACTGCGCTGTTTTGTGCAAGAAATATGCAAATGAGGCAAAACGTGAAATATTGCCATGCTTCATTTACATAATTAATGAGTAGCCACTTTTTTGCAGGAGGATTTTGCACAAAAAAACCCTCTTGCGCAAGATCCGTTCTTCCGCATGTTTTCAGGAAAAACAGCTCTTGTGCAAGAGGAGGTTTTTGCACAAAATCGAGCCATGTAGACTGCGCAAAAAGTGGCCACTCATTAATTATGCAAATGAGGCACTGTGATATTCAACACTTCACCTCATTTGCATATTTCTTTTGCAAAACAGCGCAGTATAGACATAGCCTTAGATTAACACATAATCCTGAAATCAACATCTCCCATACTCTTTCATAGGCTGCTCTCTACTTAGTGTGCTGGCTTTTGTCTATCCCATTCAGTGTCACCCATCTCTCCCTATAGAGCTTAGGCACCTACTTCAGACTCTGTAGGCCCTAGGATTTTCAAGGTGCCTATAAGTGAGGGAGTGTAAAACCACTTTGTGCAACTCAGCAAGAGACCTTAGGTATGCTGATTGACCTGCAAGTTTAATAACTCTAATGACAAATGGATTATTGGAATTATTAATATTTGAAATTATTAGTGTGAGAAATCACCAAGCACAAATGTAACCACCAATTTCTTTATTCAATCCAAAGTCCAAATAGTACATTATTATAGTTGCTCTAAACATGCCTAAATAATCAATTTATTGTATCCAAACAATAACTAAGCATTTGATCAATTTGATTACAATCAAGCTAAATCCAAGGGTGTTTAAACCCATATTGGCCAGCTTCAGCATAGTCAGGCAGGTATTAGCAAGGAATCCTTTAAGAGTTTACTTTTTATACCATTTCACAAACAAGTAGTGTCATTGCCAATTATTGACTTTAACTGAAAACCAACTGGAGATAGTCCACCCATATTTCCAGTATTAATCTGGTTAAGACAAGAGAAACTTCCTCCACTTCTCAGGTGTTTGTAATAGATTTCTTTCTTTTTCCCGGTAATAAAGCTTACTCTTTTGGGGGCATGAATGACTCATTAATAAGCCATGTGGTCACCTGATCTAGAATAACAGCTGCTAATAAAATGGCTACCCTTGAGAGGTTAAAAAGAAGGCAGTTAGCTTCTATTAGAAGAATTTGCAGGTTAGAGGTGGTAACAAGCTTGGGCTACAATATAGAAAGATTTATTGAAGGTAATGGGAATTGTCTTGTTTTTTAGTTAATGTATACCTGAAAAGTAAAAATATTACATTACAGGGAAAGCATTGTTGTTTTTTTGGGGGGGGGGGAATAATAATATTGGGATGCATGTAAGGTAGAATGTTTTTTATGCATATCTATGTAGGTACTAAGGTTCTTCTGGATTCTATATATGACAAAGTAGAACTATTTAGTTTTTCTTTTTAGCCTAATAAATATGTATCTCTGTGTGTGTGTGTGTGTGAGATCACACACAACTATGAAACCTAGATTTAAGATCAGTTGTCTTTTTAACCCTGTATCCTACCTTCCCTAAGTACTAGACAGAAGAGCTTTAGTAGCTCTATTAAGTTGACCTCAGAATGCTATAACCTCGAATAACTATAGTGAAAGCTAGTTACATCAATATCTACTGAGAAGGCAAAAACTGTGATTAGTAACACCTGCTTACATTTGTGGTTTGATAAAAATAAGTCTTATAGTGGCTCCAACACCATAAAATAGTAAGAGCTAGGAGTCATAACATTATCTATAAACTTGATCTTCTATTCTAGGATTCCTGATCTTTATTTAGGTGGGGTTTTTTTTTAAAAAAAAACCTCCCTTATTAAGCCTAGAGGCATCTTCCTTTAGTGGGTGTTTCCCACAAAACTCTCCCTCTCTGTAGCTTTTCCAGAGTAGTATTTAAGAACATGTTCTTTAGTAGTTGTAAGAATTCTTTGCACTTGAAAGTGGCTAGTCACACTACTTGTCTCTTGAGAATAAACTTGGTTGCTCCAAACCAGAAAATAAGCTTAAAAAATCCTGTGGTTACAGGAGAACCAACTATCTCTTAGCTATTTTCTGATAGCTTTATTTATATACAGTAAAAATAATTTGAACTAATTATATAAAACCTGCTCTCTTAACTATGAATAGAGTAGATGGTGACCTGGATCTTCTTTTGGCAAAAAGAACCAAAACTACAGTTTCTGAGCATACTATTTTTGACTAATTGTCTTGCAAACTTAAGGTAGGCATGCATGGCAGAAATCTACTTTACCAAATAGTAAACCATCTATTATGAAGCAGATGACTTAGAGCTCATGACTAGTTGTGAGCTGTAATTCAAACCTAAATCTATTAGGCTATGTCTACACTGGTGGCTTCTTGCACAAGAACACGTCCATGATGCCATATGCAAGCTGTGCTGTTGCACAAGTACCCATGGCAGTGTGGACGCTGTCTTCATCAAGAAAGCTCTGATGGCCATTTTAGCTATAGGGCTTTCTTGCACAAGAAATCCCTGCTGAGTGTCCACGCTGCCCTCTTGCGCAAGAGGTCCTGCTCAAGAGGGCTTACACCTCATAAAAAAGAACATAGCCCTTGCGCAAGAAGCCCTCTCTTATCACGCCGTACTGTAAATTTCCTTGCACAAGAGCTGGCGGGCAGTGTGGATGCTCTGCAGATTCTTGCACAAGAATGGCTGTACTTGCACAAGAAGCCACGAGTGTAAATATAGCCTTAGGAATTTGTAGGGTTTTTTGATTGTGTGGTGGTTCCTCCCCCAACTCAAAGTAGCGACCCAATCTCTGTATTGGAGCAGGAGGCTATATGTAACCCTGCTACCATTTTGACACCTGTTACATAGCTGGAACTCAAGCGCTGGAATGGTGTCACAATGCCCTGACTAACATAGTTCTGCTTCTGTGGTTTGATATTAGAATGTCTGGGCGGGGAAAGAAAAATGTGGTGGCTGCAAAACCTGCACTTCCGTCAAGAAAAAGTAAGACAGCAAGGGCTGGCCTGCAATTCCCTGTGGGACGTATCCACCGGCTTCTCAAAAGAGGGAACTATGCTGAGAGAATAGGGGCTGGAGCTCCTGTTTACCTGGCGGCCGTGCTGGAGTACCTGACAGCTGAGATACTGGAACTGTCAGGAAATGCTGCCCGTGAAAACAAGAAAAGCAGGATTGGGCCACGGCACATCCAGCTGGCTGTGCGGAATGATGAAGAGCTAAACAAGCTGTTTGCGGATGTGACCATTGCTGAAGGAGGAGTTATGCCCAACATTATTTCCCAGCTTCTTCCCAAGAAAACACTTAGAGATCCTCTAGAAAGTGGGGATCCTGCTGCTTCCCAGGAAGAATCCAGTAACTATTGACCGCCTTTGTTTGTGTGGGTTTCTGTACTTGCTGACTAGTGACTCTTGTTTGTCCATTCTCCTATATATGTTAACACTGCTAAATAAGACTCTGGTAACCATTTTAATGTTTGTCTTTTTAAAAAATATTTAATAAACTTTCTAGAATTCAGCAATTAACTCAGTCTGTTTCCCTTCAAGGAGTTGGGAGTATTAATCCTTTCTCCAGGAAATGTCTAGAATGCACCTGTTAAACATGCTTCTCTAGCACTCATCAAAACCAGCATAAGAGGGGAGTTAGCAGTACCCCAGGCCCTGCATGGGGCTCAAACATCACATTAAACCTCCAGAAAGAAGAATGGAGGGAGAAAACAGATCTTTTACCTAAAGATGCAATGCAGGTGAGCAGATTAATTTCCCTTCCTCCCTCCCCAGAAGAGAAAGACCTCTGCTTCTATGTGCTAAAATAATAAATCTGTTTTCATGTATGAACTTGTAATGGAGTTAAGTCCAGAACCTTCAACAGTTATGCGCATAGACTGGATTATTATTCACTGACCAGCTAAAAGTCACTGATATATTGAATGGTTCAGCAACAGGTAGTTCTCTCTGCCTCTTCAGGGACACTGTCCAGAAAGGAAGGATACCATCAGTGCTGATGGTGAATTTAAATAAAAATCTTTAACTGGTCACACTCAAGTACCACAAGGCAGTGAAAATGTCTCCATTGAGGCTCTAATCTCCATGCTCAAATGAGGTACAGCTCCTAGCTGACCTAGGTTTCTGGCATCTACTAGATATTTTTCTTCCTTCAGCCACCATCTGTTAGACAGGAAGGAAAGTCCCTGCCATGACTTAGCCTTTCTTGCATCTGAGCTATTTGTCAGGCCTTAACTCTGGGCCACAGAGGTCCACTATTATGCTGCTCTAATGGAATAGCTAGATTCTCCCTCCTTGCCTACCCCCCTCCCCCCACATGAGCTTGTGGAGTCTTTATGCAGGTTTTAGAATGCCCTAATCAAACCAGGGATGACTCGAACTGTAACAAAATAAAAAAACTGGTTCAAAAGTGGTAAAGTTCACGGAGGATAGGTCTGTCAATGGCTTTTCACTGAAGTGTGGGTGCGGGGATAGCTGTTGCCATGCCCATGCTAGGCTTCTAGAGACGATAGGTGAGAATATCTTTCCTTAGACCAGTTTCTGTTGATGGAGATGAGCTTTTGAGCCACTCAGAGCACTTCTGGGCTGGGAAAGGTACCAGCAGCAGCCCTACACTTAAAACACTACAGCTGCATCTGAGCCACTGAAGAGGCAGAGAACTTCCACATAATTAATCCACCTCCCACAGCTATGGCACTGCTTCTCTCATTGATGTAACTAGGTTGATGGGATGGTAACAGCTTCACTAGCTGGTGTGGATTTTCACACCCCCTGAGAAACACAGTTAAGCTTGATCTGTTCAAAAGTGTACTAGTTAGAAGTCTCCTGGCTGTAGATAACAGATTTGTCTAAACTATAAATTTAAGTTGATCTAATTTACATCATCATGGAGGTGCCATAGTGATTAGTGTGAATGTATACTCTTTGGCTGTGTCTACACTGGGCCACTTATTCCGGAAAAGCAGCCGCTTTTCCGGAATAACTTGCCATCTGTCTACACTGGCCGCTTGCTTTTCCGGAAAAGCAATGACAATCTACTGTAAAATTGTCAGTGTTTTTCTGGGAAAAACTCTGCTGCTCCCGTTCAGGCAAAAGTCCTTTTCTGGAAAAACTATTATGGAAAAGGGCCAGCGTAGACAGCACAGTAGTCTTTTCCGCAAAAAAGCCCCAATCACGAAAATGACGATCGAGGCTTTTTTCCAGAAAAGCGTGTCTACATTGGCACGAACACTTTTTCTGGAAAAAGTGCTTTTCCGGAAAAGCATCCTGCCAATGTAGACGCGCTTTTCCAGAAATACTTATAATGGAAAACTGTTCTGTTTTAAGCATTTCTGGAAAAGGGTGCCAGTGTAGACATAGCCTTTGTTCCTTGTGGGGGGCCGTGTGCCCCCTCACCAGTGGTACCTGTGTGGGGTGTTGAGAGCTTCTGACAACAAGCCACGGTCAGTTGCAGCAATGCAGCGTCCATGTAGACACTACACTGATCTAACTACATCAACCTTGACTCTGTCTCCCAGAGAAGTGAAGTGAAACTGGTGTCACAGGCAAATTACATGGGCAGTTGAGAAAGTTTACTCTAGACAAACTAGAGTTTTAGGCTTTGATGTACACTGCTTTGCATCTACCTAACTCCATAGTGTAACAGACCAAGACTTGATGTGGGTTTGCTTTAATCCTATTACTGTACCGGTGGTAACAGACCACTCTACCTCTGTGCTAAAAACTTATACAATTATTGTTGTAGTTTGAGTATCTGTTCCACCTTTTGTTCAGAGTCCCTCCTCAGTTACACTGACATTGAGTCCCTTCCCCAGTTCATAAGACCTGTGTGTGTCTTGAAAGGTCATCTCTCTCGAACAGAAGCTAGTCCAATATAATATCCCCCTCACATACTTTGTCTCTCTAATTTAGCCAAGATTAGGATGCAACCTGTGCTCTGGATGTCCCTAACACTCCAACTAGCAGAAGCTGGGGCTGAACAACAATGGAGGGCCCACTTGAAATTGAATTCCAGCCATTTGAAGCATTTCCTTTGAAGCAGCTGGTGCTGGCCCCCATCAGAAGAGAAGAGGCTAGGCTAGGGGGCCAGTTGGTCTCGCTCTATAGGCTCTTCTATTCTTGCTCCACAGAAGTAGGGTGAGTGAGGCAAGAGCAGCTTATACCTGTTCCATGTAATGAATGCTGGGTAATAGGGTGAGGTCTCCAATGCTCTTAATAAGGTGACCATATGTCCCATTTGAGCCAGGGCAAGCCCTTTTTAAAGCCCTGTCTTGGGAGCTCTGATTTTTTTTTTTTTTTTTTTTTTTTTTTGCAAAACTGGGCATTTGGTAATCATGTGCATGGTTTTGTCCAAAAAAGTGGGGTGCACATGACCCATAACAGTGCAGAGGAATGTGGGGGTGAGGTGAGGCAATGCCATCCCTGCATAGGAGGAAGGGCTGGTGAGAGTGGCTCAGTCTGAGCCAGGCCCATGCAGGCTGAAGATGGGGGGGGGGAGGTGTCTGGGTCAGCCCTGTGTGCAGGCAGTAGAAGGGGTTCCAGCTGGCCCTATCCATAGGATGGGGGGGTGGAGCTTGCTTGGTCAGGTCCCGTGTGGTTTTCTGTTTTCTCTTTGGGAAAATATGGTCACCCTATCTTCCCTCCACAATCTATGCAGGCTGACCTCTGTGGCTGCAGAGCAACAAGGATCTCTTCCTGGCAGGCTAAAGCTGGCCAAACACTTAATTTATCTCCCTTTCTGATGAGAAAAAGCCTTTTGAAAAATAAAGAAAACATGTAAATCTTCATATATTAACCTTGGACAATTTTTTAATTCAAATGAAACTTCCCTATGCACTATCTTGGGGGCAGGGATGTTGGGAGGGGAGAAGAAACGACCATGGAAAGGCTACATCTAAACTACGATCTTCTTCTGCAAGAAGAAATGCAAATAGAGCACTCATTTGCATTGCCTCTTCCTTTCCCTTTTGTGCAAGTATTGTCCTTCCCAAGCTGGCCAGGACTACAAGGCTATGTCTACACTGGAGTGATCTTGCACCAGAGATATGCAAATGAGGCTGAGCGTGGAATATTGCCGAGCCTCATTTGCATATCTACTGAGCCACCATTTTTGCAGAAGAGGCCCTTACACCAGAAGGAGATGTCTACACTGCCCCTTCTTGCGCAAGAAAAACCCTCTTGTGCAATGCCGCTATGCTGATTATTTTCAGGAATAGCGGCATTGAGCAAGAGGGTTTTCTTGCACAAGAAGGGGCCGTGTAGACAGCTCCTTCTGGTGCAAGAGCCTCTTCTGCAAAAATGGCAGCTCAGATATGCAAATGAGGCTTGGCAATATTCCACGCTTAGCCTCATTTGCATAGCTCTGGCGCAAGATTATGCCAGTGTAGACATAGCAGCAGTGAGGAGTCCCTAGCTGGAGTTCTCCCAGCAACACAGGGAGATCAGACCCACCTCTACCTCTTGGTAGCTCCTGTGGTTGCAAAAAGCTCTACAATCTAGCTCTGAAGGCAGCACAGAAGTAAAGGTGGCAATCCTCCCGACAACAGGTTTGTGCCCTGCCCCACTAATCTCCTTTTGGTCAGGACCCCATGGTTACAATACCATGAAATTTCAAGTTTAAACTGCTGAAAATGAGACATTTACCAGTTTTCAAATCGTGGCTGTGAAATTGGCCATAACGGACCATGAATTTGGTAGGACCTTGTTTAGAGCTTTTAGCCCAGAGGTTAAAACTCTCACCTTGTGTCACCCAGGTTCAATTCCCCTCTCTGCCTGATGAGGAAAAAGGTTTTAAACGGGGATTCTTTACCTCCCAGGAGAGTGCTACAGGATATTCTGATAGGTGTGGAAGGAAGCCCTCCATAGCTCCTGTGGGAACTGTCCCACTGTGTATTATAAACATTTAAATAGTGGGGAAGAAGACGTGAGGAAAAATAAAGACTCTATGGCAGTACTGGTGCTCCAAACATGTTTTAATTATTAATCCAAAGTGGAACAGCTTCAACAGTGGAGACTAGAGAAGCCCTGTGTCAGAATTTCACATAGCTCAGTCATTAGAGCATGATTCCCAAGATGTAGTCTCTCCCTCTTCAAATCCTCCTGTCCTCTCAGCAGCAGGGGGGAATTGAACCTTAATCTTCCACACCAAAGGTCTGTGGGCTAAAAGTGAACAGGTTGTTCTGAATTGAATTAAGGGCTTGCCTAACCCATTTGCACAAGAAGTTGCTTAGCCACCTAACTGAGGGGTTCCTGTTCTGAAGCACTAGCATGGTTAGGTGCCTTAATCCAGGCTAGAAGGAGATACCTGTCTCTGTGTGGGGCAGAGGCCTTAAGACATGCCTAGCAATAGTTCCCATTGCTTGATGTAGGTGGCTTCTATAGACTGCATTCTGAGGTGCCACTTTCTCCCCATTCATTATAAAAGGAGCCTACGCACCTATCTCAGGCTTTG